ATCATCTCGGTCTGGTCTTTAGGCTCACGCACTGATTGTTGCAAGTCATTCGTTAAGATGCAGAGTTCCTCTTGTTCTTGCTCCATCAAATTAATGTCGATGGGTTGTCTGGTTATAATTGCATCTTTAGACCTGATTTGTTCCTCATTCTCAAACCCTTTGTACTGAAGCTTTAGCAAAGTTTTCTCCAGTTTTTCATTCTTGTCACTTTGTTCAGCCGCCAGAGACTTAAGGTGGCTTTGGATTTTTTCATGCTCCTGCAGATAATCATCTAGATTATCATGCTTTGCATTCATTGCTTCTATCTGAGAGTCCTGCAGGGCCGGTTTATCTGTAAGTACCTCATTTATATTGTTTAAAGATTCCTCCTTTTCTTTGAAATCCGGCAAATTTGCCAAAATATGGTTGGCCATTGTTTCTGTTATATTCGTAAGGTCTTTAATTTGGGCTGACATATCAGCCATCTTCCCTAGACTCCCTATAAGGTCATCACTATCTTTCCACAGATCGGTGATTTTAGTTTGGTGTTGAATCTTCAGATTAGAGAGGTAAGCCACCTCTCTGTCAAGGCTCCGGTTATTTTCTTCTAGAACACGTGCTTCATCACGCAGCACATCAAACTTTGTAAGAATTATGTCTGTGTCCGACTTAAGCAGGGCCAGTTCATCATTTTTCCTCATTAGAAGCTGCTCAAGGTAATTAATTCGGGCTGACATGACATCATTGTTATGCTGAGCCACCCTTTGACGGTCAGTCCTTCCGGCCATATTTATCATTCTTCCTTCCACTGTACTGGTGTCTCTTGAAAGTCCTTGATAACTAGTTTGGATAAGTAAAGTCTGGGGTATACAGTTGCTTTGCCTTTTATCTGGACAAATGACGTCCCTGATCTTTGTGACGTCATGCCTTTCTATAGAGTCTGTTTATGAACTGACGTTATTTGTGACGCTTTGCCTTTGATCTTGAAGAATCATTGCGTCTCTGATCTTGGTGTGACGTCATGCCATTCTATGCGCCAGTGACGTCACCGCAGCTGCGACGAGGCTGTCCCATTTAGAAAACTCCTTCCAATGTAAAAGTACAGAAATGAATAAATAAAAGAATAAATACATGATTGTGCAGCACCGAGGACCGCAAACGCGCCACGTTCACCTCCGCGGCCGCCACTATAACGTCACACCCAGGCACCCAGTGGACGGTAGGTTTCTGCAGGGAACACGTTTCCATGCTAAATCCCTTGTGTAGACTAAATTACTATCGCCGGTGATGAGTGATTTATTTATTCATGCTGTGCGTCAGATCACATTCCTGTAAAGTGTGCGATGGTATCGTTAGCCAACATGTTTCTTCTGCAACGTTCTTATGTTCTTGTACTGATTAGAGCTTATCCTCTTCACTTGATTCTAGCCGAGGTTTCAAGACTGTTTGGTCTACACTTTGGAGGGAGAAGGACGACAAGGAGGCGAACTGTGCGCGTGCACAGCTTCATTCGTACACTCACTCTTTCTGTTGTATTGAGGACAAACCGATATGCCAGAGATAGACTTGCTGCTGCAGGACTTGGGGAAACACGTCTTACATTCCAAGGTAAGTCAGGCATCATGATGGACAGACGATGTATTTTTCTTGAATTAAGTTACCTTTCAAAAACATTAACCGTCATTATATTTCAAGTTAGATCGGTTGTTTGTATTATTATCTTCTATTTTCAGGTAGTCATACTGATCCAGATGACTTTAGAGAATTTATTTTAGAGGCATATCAAACACTCAGACAAAGGGGAGGATTTGAGTTGCTCAAAATCTCTGGAACAACACGGTGGCCAACTGATCATCATACCATGTCCCAATGAGGGTTACCATGTGAGACATTTGAAAGATCCACAAACACAGATTGGTCATGCTACAATTTTCATCCGACCACTCCAAAGAAATCTGAATCTGGACCCTGTAAGATCCTCACTTATAAATTGGTGTTCCCATATGAAAATGGCAGAGTGTGAACAGTTACATAAGTATAGCTTGTGTTACATTTTAAAATGATCTTGTTTACAGGCATGTCAACCAGAATGCAGTTAATGAGCTAGTTGGACCACCTCAGAAATGTGTGACGTGTGGAGAGGAGTTCCCTTTGACAAGAATCAAGGCTCACAGTGATGAATGCGTGAGGTATCGCTCTACAGAACTAAAACGTCACATTTGTCAAGCACTCAAGGAGTCGTACATCAGACATTAAGCATTCGGCTCTGGAGTCTGCCAAAAGATGTAAAGCATTTTGAATGTGGATGATCCTGTATGATCCTGAATATTGGTCTTGAGGGAAAGTTGAATTTGAATGGATTTATTCTATTCTATTTATATGACCATTCTTTTCTAGTTGCAGTGTTTTTGTGAATGTGTAATGTAATATAAAATATACTGGCCCCAATAAGAAAACGTGCTTCTCTTTACCCAAGACCATCACAGAGCAGTGGTGAGGTAGAAATTGTGGTGACCACAGAAAGTGCCTCCTGAAGTGAAGGTAGATTTGTGAGCATGTTGACAAGACTACAGGGAAGTGAGACAACAAGGGCCAGCAACACAAACTACTGCGTGCCACCTCAGGGACATGTGGCTGCTCCTGAGATAGTTGACCTAGATCCCATGAGGAGAGAGGCTTCTCAGGTGTGTTACATCATTTAAACATTACATCATTTATTGCAATAAATTGTTGCTCTCTACATATCAATTCATCCAGTATTAATTGGAATAATTTAAAAACTTTTTTTAGATTGGAAAATTCTTTCAAATCCCAGTGAGGCAGCAAAGAGATTCAAAGAAGACATTTTAAGTCAGCATGCAACTGGAAAATCATTCTATCTTACCATGGATCTTGGAGACAGTGCAGAGGACAGTCCTTTCTTTTTATAAGAGGGCTAATGTTGAGTGGGCTTGCCCCTTGACATGCACACTCAAGGGTAAATTGGTTACACACGCAAAACTAAAGATAACAAATGATCATATATTCATTTAACTGATGTCTGTACTGTGTATTTAGCTTTTTCAGGAGATCCAGCAATTGGTGATGGCGTGACTCTCCATCTCTTTGCAACCATCATGTCCAAACTTCAGTATGGTTTTTAGATGAATTTTGGAAAGTGAATATTCACTTTGGCTGCTGGCTGGTTGTCAACAAATCTAAGATCATGTAAAACTGAACTTCAAGAGTTCCAAAAGTGTTTCCTTTTGAAAGATTTACGATTTAAAGTCACCTCTGTAAAGAAAGAAAAACAGTGTTGAAAGTCAGAGGATTCAACTCAGTGGGTTGTTTCAGTGTTTACTTCAGCTGAGAAACAGTAAGAAGAGAGACATATTGATGGTAGAGGGATGTTCAAAACACTGTCAGGCCTGACCTCTGACCTCTTGGTCTTTATTTGCTCATTGCTTTCTTTGCAGTATTTTAGGGATCGCCCAAATTCTCAGACGTTCGAAGCCAAGTCAAGCATACAGTCCCATGAAGATTCAAAATGGCTGAGCCAAAGTAATACTCTGCTACCAGTGAATCAAACTGCTTTTACCTGCTGCGGAGCTCACATGAAACACTGGAACTTGTACACTGAAGCAGCTAGTGGAGTAAATGTACCTGAGTAGATGTGGTCCTTCTCCCCATCTGTGTCTGCTATATTTATCTCTGTCTGCCTGTAGATCCCTCTGTGCCTGCATGCCTCCCTACTCCCGTCTCCTAAGCTGAAAGCTAATGAATTAACACCCACAAGGAGTTCTTAAGTACTTCATCAACAGCGTACTTCCTTATTCACTTCTACCAAAGGGGTTTTTCAGGCCTAAAGTTTAACTGGACTATCTTCTGTCATCATTTAAGGGGAGTCGAAAATAATGCTTTCCCACCTCTGCGCGTCTTTTCGCTTTCCAGTGTTGTCATTGGACAGAAGTTAGCCCACGCTCGCTTGCATTCGTCATTGTCACTATGTCCACCTGTCACTGTTAGCTGGTCTATTTGCCATTCTGTCCTTCAGTCCATCTTCCTGCTGTCCACCTGTCAGTCTTTCTCTCTGTCTTCTTCTTTAGACATTTTCATCACGACGTTTAGCACCATAATCCAATTCATATTATTCTATAATCCATTGATCTGTTATGTTCAATCTATTCTCATGTTTTGTGATGTTATATGTACCTCTATAAGAGGCTGTAGCCAGGATCTTAGAAATACTGTGGTCATGTTTCCATGTTATTGCTTAACATGCTGTTTAAAATCCTGGACTCCTGTATAGGGCTTTTAAACATACTGTATGTATTCAGCAGTTTGATGTGTTTTGTTGAATGGGTCAAACCATGGCCTCCCCGAAGTCCTCCCATGCCCGAGTTTTAGCATCCGCGACGACTGCAGCTGCAGACCGTCTGGCCTGCCGGTACCTCTCAGCTGCTTCAGGAGACCCCTGAGCCAACCAGGCCCAAAAGGCCTCCTTTTTGATGAGCAGTGGACAGACACAGAGGTGCACGTTCACTCACTCGCTCGCTCCGCGAGAGAACGGAGAAGTTTAAAGGGAGAATGTCTCTTTGGTAGAACTAATAACACCTCATAGACAGGGGCCCCCAGCAGGCACGCTGCATTTTCTGTAAAGGGGCCACAAAAATGTAAAATCTTTATCTGAAAATCTGAATAAATGTGGCGTATTAACTACATAGTAACCCTCTGCATTGCAGTCCAGCAGAGGTATTTAGGAGCATTTAATGCAAATACTTAAGTAAAGTACAAGTACCTCACAATTGTGCTGAAGAGCAGTTCTTATGTTAATGTTATCAGTTACTTTCCACCACTGGGGGCCACTGAAGTGCCCATGAGCAAGGCTCTTGAGTCCCGGTCTTCAGGGAATGATGCAGGAGGGAACACACTGTCAACAGTAGTCACTTTAGGAAGCAGCTCATTTGAACTTTAGGTCAGGACTGTTTTTTGGAATACGGAATACAGAATACCCCACCCCAACGAATAAAGACACAATAAAGTAAACAAGTCTTTTTTATTTTTTATTCCAAAATGTTTAGGGTAAAATAAGCTGTAAAAGATACAACATAAGCATCCAAGCAGAATGGAAAGAGAGAATAAAGAACATACACACTAGCCTCAGTTGTTTGTCACACACACAGCTCCCACTTCAGGAGTCAACCCGTCCCTCTACTGCGAGGACAACCGGGTCTGGAACTGATCGGTGAGGGCGGTAGTAGTCAGAATAGCATCTCTCTCTCTCCCTCTCTGTTGGATGATCATTCAAATGTCAGCCGTCTCACTGGTTTAAATGTTTTTAACGACGCAAAAAGTAAAAAAAAGGAGCCGCTATGGGAGAACACTTTAACATCGCACGTTGTCTAAAGGCCCGAACGGGATCAAACATGAAGAATACAATAAGGCACTTAGCTAGACAAATCCAAACTTAAAACAGGAATCTAAACACGGAGGTCAAATGAACAGAACTTGTATTTTTACAATCGGCAGAACCGTGCGGCCACCCTGCAGTTTAAACAATGGCGTGTTGTACACAAACGATCACACGCTGTAAAGAAGAAACGGACCGGTGCAGGCGTTTTTCAATGTTTGGTAAAACAGATGCTGTACGAGAAGGAATGAGTTCTGAATCCAAAAAAAAACCTAAAAACGACAAGAAGGGGCGCACATCTGCAGTCCAACTGAGCGCTGCCTCCTACAGCCTATGAGGAGTAACTGCACGTTGAGTTTACCTGATAAAAGAACATCATCGGTAACCATTTATGTTTAGGAAGCGTTTTATTATGTATGATAACTAGTTTGACAACTCTTAAAGCAAGTATACAAGTCTTACGAATGCTAAATGTTTATATATAATAAAAAAGGGGGGGGACACAGAGGAGAACATGGGGAGAAGTCTGATCAATTTACATGACAGAGCTGTACACATGGACGGCTGCCAAAACTCGATGTTGAGCTCCAAACATCTCAGATTTTTTTAAAGAGGAATTCTTTTCAGCCGGGAGCAGCGTCGCAAATATTTGTTCCATTTAAAAAAAACTTATTTCTCATCCTTTAATCTTATTTGTATCCATCGGAGACCTCTCGTTAGAATGATTTGTGAAAACAAGGCCAGATGGAGAAAAGTACGAGACACGCTTTACGCCCCCAATAACAACGCAGGAACAAATTCAATTAACTCAGTAAAACAATTCACCGCGTTGATCCTCTTCAGAGCACCGACACGCATTCGGCCCGGCAAGGTTGTCTTCTCCAACCCATTAAGAAATAGCTGAAAGGAAAATATGCCGCTGACAAGAAATGGCTTTGAGTGTTAAATACTTTTGGTTGCCGGGATTAGCTTGGATGTTTACAAAAAAAAAAAAAGAAGACGAGGACATCGTAATCCTGCAGCAACTGAAATCCAAGTTGAGGATGCTGGTCTGTGTGTCGGGTTACGAAGTGTCCGGGGACGACCACAAAGACAGGTCGTTCCCGCTTTCGCGGCAGAGGATAAAAGGATGAGACGACGACCAGAGCACCTCTCGGTGGGTGGTGGGGGGCAGTCACGAAGGTCTTGAAGAATCTACAGCGGACTTAAGAGTTGTCCGGACCATTATTGTCTTGCATCGAAGTTATGTCCAGGAAAACAAAACCCGCTTCTATTTCCTAACTTGACACATCTCTGGTGCAGGTGTGGGGGGTAGGAACGAATGGTACAGGGGAGACGGAGCTGGATTTCGGGAAGTTGTTGTGGACTCGCAACAAAAAAAAAAAAAAAAAAAAAAAGACTCGCGACGACCCGTTATCTCTAAAGGACAGGACTCTCCTGACTAGTGGCTGACGAGTCCCTGCAGCATCATCATGAGGCGCCGCGCCCTCTTGCTGAGCGGGCTGTGGGGGTCCTGCTGCAGGAAGGCGAAGAGCTTTGGTCTGACCTGGGCCAGCACGGAGGACATGTGGTCTCTCGTCAGCGGGTCGGCGTGGTCCAGGTTCATCACGGCGTCCTCCAGGTAGCTGAACGGGGGACACAGAGGGACAGAGACGTCAGACATCAATGACACAAGACCGATTTATATTATTGACTGTAGGTGAGAGCAGGAGGGAACATCTGTAGTCAACCAAAGACAATCCGCACTCTAGCCTAAATTAATTATAAATAAACATAAAAATCTATTTGCGGCATATTAAATTAACTTTAACCAAATTATTCGATACTTAAATAATAACAGACTCAAAGCCGACCGGCGCACAATGTCACATGTTCATGTTCCAAAAATAGAACCAGCCGTGGAAGCTGTCGGGATGCGCCTGCAGTTATATTTCAATCAAAACGACGACGGCTATTTATTAGATCAAACGTATGGAAATATGCCAACTCGGATATGTTCACCGAGACGAGGACTGAGCAGAGGAGCAGCTTCAGCTCGGGAGCCGTCGCCATGTTGAGAGCCGTGTGGAGTCAACAAGATATGCTCGGAATATTCTAATTGAACACATTTTAAAGCCAATAGCGTAGCACAAGTTTTTGACAAGAAAAATGATGAAATGAAAGAAGGTATAAAGGTACGACATAAAAGCAGCACGAGGTTGTGAGGTTGTGTTTTGGACCCGTGGAGCAGCTGCAGGGGACAGAGAGGAAGGCCGCTTCCATCCCCGTCTAAACAAGCTTTCTCAGGTTTGAATTTCAAGCGGCGTCCTTGATCGCCTCCCTGGCTGCCGGCCCGCTGTGCACCTTGTGCTTTCTGCTCAAATACCGCAGCAGAAAATTGAGTTATGCCACCGTCACCTGCGCCCTCACTCAGACCACACTACATTCTACTCTCAAACTAATTGTCTTAGTCGGACATCTGGTGGTTAGACCGTCCTGCAGCGCTCCATTTCTGTCCCGCTCTCCCACCTTTTGTCTTTTACAGTTTAAATGACTGTTCGTCTCCGCGTACGGACCCTCAACACACATTACAGATCCACCAAATCCCCGTACACTGCCTACACACTCATCGTGACTTTTAATTTCACTGCATAGAACACTCTCGATACTGACCAGCTAGTTTCTGTCTTACATGAGATGATCTGCTAGCTGCATTGTGTCCTTTTCAAACACGTAAAGTCCCTCAGTTCACATTATTCTGTCATCCGTTTGGACAACAATGCGTTCTTCAAAAGCAGCCGACGATCCTCTGGTCCCAGCAATCCTCCTGTTGCTTTCGTTTCGCTCTGGGGATCTTTTGCGGATTCTTCTAAGATGCCATCAATCAGAAGCACAGAGTAGGAAGGCTCCTTTATCTCGTGCAAAGCCTCAGAAAAACTGCCGTACAGTCGCTGCAGTTATCGTCTCATCCCAAAATTCATCGACTTCTATTCTTTTTCGTTAAGAAGTTTTGTGATTTATCCCGTTTTGTTTCTGTCAACTGAACCCATGCGACCAGGACCGTGCTTTGTCCTAATAATGCCTCAGACTGAACCACACCCTGCTGGCCTCATCTCGCTCTCTCCAGATGGCTCAGAGTGGCACCAGAGGGCCGTGTTAGCAGCTGCAACGTAAACGCAGAACCAAACAGGCCATCCAGACACAGAGTGGTGCTGTAAAGGGACTCTGATAGAGAGAGGAGGGTTTTTTTTGGAGGGGGGAGAAAAGAACAGCTCTCTGAGGAGACACATCCACACGCTTCTTGAGAATAAAAACACGACACACTTTTCTGTTCAAAGAAATGGGAAGAAAAACAGCCGGTAGTGCAAGAGTGAACAGCAGAGTGAAAGCCACAAGGACGAGGAAAGAACAGAACGATGGAGAGCATCTAAAAATTGGTGCTCCCCGGACGGCCGTGTAGCGGGGCTACAGACAGAGCAGTGTGATGGGGTCAGCAGTTTAGCGCAGCTTAGCACTCAGGAGACGAGGAATAATGGACGTGCGATGGAGATGAGAGTTGAGAGTTTAGGCTGATAGACGGGATCCAGCTTGTGTGGGGGAGAAGTCTAAGACATTTTGAGAAGAAGTGAGCTCATGCAGCTCACAGTTATTTTTTTTTTTGATTAATGCCTATGCCTGCTGCGTAGCAAGACAGGCCTTACATCAAACTACAGTGGTGTGAGGAGATTTACCGAGCAGAGTATCAATAATTCTGTAATTGTTTCAAGCAAGCGTTTTATGTCTCCGTATGGTCCTTTCCATAATGTTGTCCCACACTATAATAACAACAAGAACACTTTCCACTGACGTACATCGGGCGGTGTGATGTGATTACATTGCAACCCGTTTAGCATCTGCCCGCTGCAGCGTTCTCCCTCAAATACTGGACCAATTTCAAAGACTGTTGTAATTCGAGGTCATCATCCTTCTATTATTACTGGCTTCACAAACATGAGAAGATTTTGGTTTGTTTTTAAAATGTGCTTTTGCAGTCGCACAGACTTCTTATAGTTTAGTTGGGCTGGTTTAATGCCTGAACTGAACTAATTCAACCAATTCCATTAATATGTTCCTGTCCCACTGCAAGTGAAGTGTTGGCAAGCCTTCTGCTTACTAACAACATTATTCTGAGATATCTCAATATATGGTCATGGAGGTTCACACATTGTCACGCCCACACCGGGTCTGCTGTGCTTTGACTTTCATTGTGTTCGTCTACATATTACACACCGAACGTTTACTCTGGAATAACGTTGGATGCACATTAGTGAAAGAGAAAATTACCTCACCTGATTTTGAGCTCAGAGCGGGTGGTGAGGTTGGAGGCGAGCTGCTGGATGAGCGACAGCAGCACGGGCTGGCTGAGAGGACACGGGTGCTGACCGAACACCTGCTGAGAGTCGATGGTCTCGCACACATACAGGACCAGGTTCAGATCTGTGGCCGACAGAGCCTGGAAGGAAGGGAAGAGAGAGAGGGAGAGAGAGAGAGGGCATTGTGTTCAGGTTAAACTGGTTTTATGAATCTTTCCAAAAGGAAAAGGATCGATACACAAACTAAAAAGCGAGGGGAAGGTTTTGGCCACCTCCACCTTAGTGGTTGTATGTTGCTTCTAAAACTAGCCAGAGACATGTCTGTAAAGAAAGTACACTTGTGTATCTTGTTGATGTCTAATTGTAATAAACTACAATCTGCTAAGCATGGAAGAGATTATAATAAAACTATGAGTTTAGGCAGGCTAATCTGAAATTTTTTTTAAGTGTCAATCAAAATATCCGTGGGTCAATAACTGAACTCCATGCAGATAAACATGGAAGGTGACGAAAAGCCAGAAATACTGAACAAAAAGGTAAGTGACGAGAGTTCTTAGCGGCTGATTAGAGTAGGTTCAGATTATGGAAGACACTGTTCGGTTCATATCCCGGTTAAGGAACGGTTTGCCCGAAGAAAAAACAAACAAACAAACAAAACCCGAATTGTCATTTTAAACTGGCAAATTTAGTAAATGTAAAGTAGTTGCAGCATATTGGATTTCTGGGCCTTGTAGTCCAGGCAGGCCTTTACGTGTGAACGTGCACGCATTTATTAACAGTTGGGAAATACAGAAGAAGAAGAAGAAACATTCCTTTATTAGTCCCACAGTGGGGAAATTATTCTCTGCATTTGACCCATCCCTGTATATATAGGGAGCAGTGGGCTGCCAATTACAGGCGCCCGGGGAGCAGTTAGGGGTACAGTGTCTTGCTCAGGGACACTTCGACACAGGACACGGTGCAGCCGAGGATCGAACCGGTGACCTTTCGGTTGGCGGACAACCCTCTCTACCCAGTAAGCCACGGTCGCCCCAGCTCAGCTGCGGAGAGTGAAATATGTACAGCACTCCACCTGTGTGTGTGTGTGTGTGTGTGTGCGCGTTACCTGCTGGAAAGCCTGGTTCAGCTGGCCCTGCTGGAGGAGCTGCAGGATGTTGGCCTGCTGCGTCTGGTAGTCGAGGTGAGCCGTGGGGACGGGCGTGCCGGCCGCTGACCTCATCGCCTGCATGATGCTGGAGGTGACCACCGCCTGCTGCTCCTTCATCGCCAGGCTCACCTCCCCTTTGACGATCCGCTGCACGTGGCTCAGAATAGACTCCTGCAAACTGTGAAGGGAAAAACGGCGGGAGGAGGAAACATGAGAAAGAGGGCTATCCTCCATATACAGTTGTGTGAAAAAGTGTTTGCCCCCTTCCTGATTTCTTATTTTTTTGCATGTTTGTCACACTTAAATGTTTCAGATCATCAAACAAATTTAAATATTAGACAAAGATAACACAAGTAAACACAAAATGCAGTTTTTAAATGAAGGTTTTTATTATTAAGGGGGAAAAAAAATCCAAACCTACATGGCCCTGTGTGAAAAAGTGATTGCCCCCTAAACCTAATAACTGGTTAGGCCGCCCTTAGCAGCAACAACTGCAATCAAGCGTTTGCGATAACTGGCAATGAGTCTTTTACAGCGCTGTAGAGGAATTTTGGCTCACTCATCTTTGCAGAATTGTTGTAATTCAGCCACATTGGAGGGTTTTCGAGCATGAACCGCCTTTTTAAGGTCATGCCACAGCATCTCAATCGGATTCAGGTCGGGACTTTGACTAGGCCACTCCAAAGTCTTCATTTTGTTTTTCTTAAGCCATTCAGAGGTGGACTTGCTGGTGTGTTTTGGATCATTGTCCTGCTGCAGAACCCAAGTGCGCTTCAGCTTGAGGTCACGAACAGATGGCCGGACATTCTCCTTCAGGATTTGTTGGTAGACAGCAGAATTCATGGTTCCATTTACCACAGCAAGTCTTCCAGGTCCTGAAGCAGCAAAACAGCCCCAGACCATCACACTACCACCACCATATTTTACTGTTGGTATGATGTTCCTTTTCTGAAATGCCGTGTTACTTTCACGCCAGATGTAATGGGACATACACCTTCCAAAAAGTTCAACTTTTGTCTCGTCAGTCCACAGAGTATTTTCCCAAAAGTCTTGGGGATCATCAAGATGTTTTCTGGCAAAACTGAGACGAGCCTTTATGTTCTTTTTGCTCAGCAGTGGTTTTCGTCTTGGAACTCTGCCATGCAGGCCATTTTTGCCCAGTCTCTTTCTTATGGTGGAGTCATGAACACTGACCTTAATTGAGGCAAGTAAGGCCTGCAGTTCTTTGGATGTTGTTCTGGGGTCTTTTGTGACCTCTTGGATGAGTCGTCGCTGCGCTCTTGGGGTAATTTTGGTCGGCCGGCCACTCTTGGGATGGTTCACCACTGTTCCATGTTTTCGCCATTTGTGGATAATGGCTCTCACTGTGGTTCGCTGGAGTCCCAAAGCTTTAGAAATGGCTTTGTAACCTTTTCCAGACTGATAGATCTCAATTACTTTGTTTCTCATTTGTTCCTGAATTTCTTTGGATCGCAGCATGATGTCTAGCTTTTGAGGATCTTTTGGTCTACCTCACTTTGTCAGGCAGGTCCTATTTAAGTGATTTCTTGATTGAGAACAGGTGTGGCAGTAATCAGGCCTGGGTGTGGCTAGAGAAATTGAACTCAGCTTTCCAAAGATGTGATAAACCACAGTTAATTTATGTTTTAACAGGGGGGGGCAATCACTTTTCACACAGGGCCATGTAGGTTTGGATTTTTTTCCCTACTTAATAATAAAAACCTTCATTTAAAAACTGCATTTTGTGTTTACTTGTGTTATCTTTGTCTAATATTTAAATTTGTTTGATGATCTGAAACATTTAAGTGTGACAAACATGTAAAAAAAATAAGAAATCAGGAAGGGGGGGGTGTTTTCTACCACTTCACTGCACTGCAGCGGGCCGGCCGGGTCACGGAACCCTCGTTCAGAAACAGGTTTTGGAAGAGTTATTTCCTCTCCATGTTGCCATAGCTTTCGGTTTAATTGATACATGTAACGTAAAAGCTATTTCTGTGAATCTCGAGTTAAAAAATTAAATATAAATCTGATTCTGCACAGTCTGCTGATGTCAGTTCCTTTTCAAGATTTTAAAGTTTTAGATGGCCAACTACTTTGTCTCTGCTCCCCCACTCAACAAATCTATAAACTCCAGAGGCCATGAAATTAATTGCAGAGGGAACAGGAGACTTGATCGAATTTATGTTCTTACATTAGCCTCAGGATTAAGCCTTGCTTGTTTCTACTCTCCAGCCCCATTATGCACCTGCTCAATAGGCAGTGAATGAGGCCAGGGCTTTCAGACAGAGGCATCTGCTGATATGCATATCCGATATTCAAAATATCCACTTGGAGTGTCAATCAATGCTATCAGATCAATCACTGCTATCACTGCTTTACGATCTTAAACGGCCAACAGTGTGGCATCGCCAGGATACATACTTTCCCACCATTATCTGGATCTGGTGCTGGACCTCTGCCCGCACATTGGCCGTGATGTTGCTGGCCAGCTGATCGGTGGAGCTCTGGAAGCTGTCGATCGTCTGCTGGAGCTGGCTAATCACGGGGTCTCGTGCCTCCTGCTCTCTCTGCTTTCGGCTCTTCATGTGGCTCTCGAGCTGCTGGATGTCTACGGAGATGAAAGTCAACAGAACATCAGCCGTCACCACAACACGAGCAGACACGTTCAAAGTAACGGAGCAGTGTGAAAGGGCAGCGGTAATGCCAAACCCTCTGGGAATCAAAAAACAGTGCAAAACTTCCTGATTCCTTGTAAAAAAACATTTTTTTAAAAAGGATCATTTAATAAAATTTGGATACATAATACCATAAAAGTGTAATTTCAGCCAGGAAACGTAGTAACAAGCCAGCAAAAGGTCACTGGGTCTTCAGCATGCCGCTTGGAATGCGATCTCAACATGAGGATTTAAACGCTTTCTAGATTATAACTTTTATTTTTAACGGCATTTAATAAAAGTTTTTAACATATAACTGGTTCAACAGCTGTCGGGATATTTTTTAGCCTTGGCCCCTGGTTTCAATAATTTATCCTTAACACAAAACAAACAGGATTCTGATCAGGGTTTACTAATTCATTGTGATGAAACACTTCACAGCTGAAGGTTTTCCAGAGAGAAGTCTGTCCTGCTCTCATTATTCTAGCTATTATTTCGTTCACTAACATGCGCCTGTTATTAAGCTTCAAAATAATTCAGTAGTGTTTTCCTCAATATATAACGTTACATTCAACGCCCACCTATGAATATGACTAATTATGGGAAGCAATGCATCATGAATTGATATATATTGCACGTCACCATGCACCAACAACAAGGAGAAGATCGGGGCATAACGGACACCACTGAAGGTTTGCACACCAGTGTGGATGTTAATGCAGCATTCACAAAGATATAATCAATATTTACATACAAAAAGCTAAACCCCGAGTTTGATCGTGGATTAAATTTAAATTGGAACAAGCTCAGAGGAGCACACAGCTCAGACTTTATGACAGCCTTGGTAAATTCTTAAAAGAATACCTCGCCGCCCGCTTCCAGAGGTATGAGCACAATCTCAGAATAAATTGACTGCTTATCAACAAATCCGTGCTCCGACTGAGTCTGGAAAAGCCTCATTACAAAAGATGTCCCTGAGCTTTTTTTTGAAAAAGATGGTTATTTAATTAGACTTCCAGATAGACAGACCCTGATTCCAGGGCTAGACAAAGGGACACAGCACCAATAAAAAGAGTCTCAAACAGGCCATTGGCCATGGTGAGCTCCCAGAACAGCTTCAAGTGTCTGGACGTCCAGCGACTGAATGGAAAGTATATTTCCACAGTAAAAAAAAATGACTCATTTGAGCTTGTGTTGCCGTAGGTCATATAAAAGATATTTGTGGTATATTTGCTGACATTGTGAAGCTTGATAAGACTGCCTTACATTCTTGTGTGCCTTGTTTAAAGCTGTCGTTGATTTGTTGGAACATGGACTGGCAGCCTCTCTCAAAAACGGGCAGCACGATGCCCTGGAAGGCGTCTTTGTAGGCCGCCTGGATGGGCCCCTGCATCGCCTCGGCCGCTGCGCGACCGATTGCATCCGTTGTGGTCTGTAAGACAGGAAGCTGGTACGGTGAGAGGGGCGGGGGAAGGAGGGTGGGTGGGCGGAGTTACAAAGACTCGGGATAGGACAGGACACTTGCCTTGGACTTGACCACCTTGCTGACATTGTCCTTCAGCGTGATCTCCACGGCGGTCAGCTTGGCAGCGATCGTGTTGCTCAGCTGTCCTGTCACCGGCTCCAGACTCTTAGAGATCGCTGGAGAGGGGACGGAATGAGTTAAGACAGATTAGCGAGAATACACCGAGTAGACCATGTTTACAGTTCATTCTGATCATGACTGATCCACATCAAATACAGTTTCTTTGATAATGTCCTTCTGTCATTTTATTTGTCAGCTATCGGTGGCAACCCGGACAGTTTGCCACCGCATCGATCAATGTCATTTTATTTGCCAACGGGCCGATGGCAGTCGAGGCAAATACAGGCCGATACCGATGTTTAGCTGATAAAGCGTTCCCTAAAATAAGCTATGCTGTTCAAAAAACTTCAAACATCTGCTTTGCTGCAAAATGCCTAAAACAGCTAAAACTCTGAAAGCAGATTTCATAAGTGAATACAGAATGCTGTCTGAGCTGCACGGTGACAAGAAACAAATTTTTTTTTCTAAAGACAAATAACATAAGAAATAAAAAATGCCGGGCACCTTAAAGTATCAAATCTTGAAAGCACCTTGGACACAGCTACAACCGATAAAGAAATAAGACTTGAACAAAGCACACATTTGCAAGAGGATGGTGGAAAGAATAGAGGAGAGAAGCCAAGGACAGGACTCAGCAGACTGTTAAGATGTATACTTAAAATCATCCTCGTCTGCGACCGCCAGACAACTATTTGGAGCAATAGCACCATCGTCTGGTAACAAATGAAGACGCCCGCTCTTACATACAGTCCACAAAGCTCTGCCCTCTCTGTGACGGCGGGGGTGTGTGGGTGGGTGTGTGTGTGTGTGTACTCACTCAGTGGGACCGTCTTCTTCATTTCCTCCCGGAGCACTTTGTCCATTCTGTTGGTCAGCACCGAGCTGAGGGTGCTGCTGAGCTGCTGGCTGAGCTGGTCCTGAAGGTGCTGCTGATGATTCTGACTCTCCGCCAGAACTCGCTCCAGTCTGCGCTCTGAGGTCGCGAGAGGTCAAGGCTCACAATAACATGTGACGGGGAACTGTTTTAACAGCTTTGTAGAGATTCATTAGAAAAGACAAGAGCATACTAACCGTTCACACCAAGTATCCAGCTGCATAGTACAATGCCTATTAGAAATGTCTATTAGATTAGAGCAGGGGTGGGCAAACTTTTTGGCTCGGGGGCCACATTGAGTTTTATAATTTGACAGACGGGCCGGGCCAGTAGCAGATGAATGGAGAGTGTTTGTGTGAACTAATATAAATTACAAGTAAAAGCCATGACCTAAAAAGTAAAGAAAACTTACATTTAATTTCAGTGGGAACAGCGTTGTTGGTCACCCTTTTTAGCCAGTGCATGAACGTTTGGTGTCAGTTTGGTTGTGGCAATTCTCAGAACAGATCTGAGGTGTTCATCAGTTAACTGGGATCTTACACGGTATTTTTTTTTAAATCGCATTAATGCATATGTTATCGTGCACTTACTTATTAAGCAGACATTTTGACAGTGTTTTTAGTGTAAAGGTTAATGACTGTCGTCTTTTTTAGCAATTTGATTCTTTGATGGGATCGTGCAGATATTTGACTTTCGCATCTAACATTATCAGAGCTCTGCTCTGTCATGTCTTTCCTTGTCTCTCCCCCCTGTGTCACGGTGTGGGTACATCTCACTAGAGTCAGGAAACGTATCAGAATACCCTTATTTTATTGGCTAAACTGCATCACGTGACGTGATTTACAACGCATTGGTCGGTGTTTTTCCTGCACCGCTGAACAAGTGCCATAAATGCTGGAAAGGAGCGCGAATAACTCCGCTGCATAAAGCAAAGGCCCGCGACCCACTGAAAACGGGTCCGTGACGAACCACCAGTTGAGAATCACTGGTGTACAGGATCGTGACGAGCGGTGAACAGTTTGTGTGGCGTGTCTTCCGTCTCTTCCCGTTTCCTTCACCTACATTCCCCTGGGTCCTAAGCCCCTCCAAGTACAGCTTATTATCACCCTCTATGTACCATCGTACATTTATAACAAATATCACACGGTAATCAGCGTTGCATATGTGTCAAACTATCGGTGCATCTCCGGTCTCTTTGTTCATCCTGCATCGCTCTGTTCTGTTCTTTAATGTAACGTGGAGCGACGGAGCCTCTCCCAGCTGTTAGCAGACTGTTGCGCTAGCAAGCAGGCTTGCGACTGAGCTGTACCCAGGATGCAGTTCGGCGGTGAAATTTTATAAATGTACAATTATTAGTGTCACAAACTGTTGTGCTGTGGTGTTTTGCTCTGTTAAAGAGCGTTAGTTGTGGGTTGTTAATTGTTGTGGTATAAAGTTATGACCATGACTAGGGTTCCCTCTCAATACATATAAGACAAGTAGCTCCGACCGTAGCCCTCGTAGCGGCAAAAAACACATTTAGCTGCCTGTTGAAGACAGACAGCAGTTGTTTCGGCTATGCACCGGTATGATGGTGTGTGAAGAATTCATATCATACGGGAAATTAAAACAGGTATACTGCCCATCCCTAGTCTTTATTAGTTTGGACAATTTTGTACCAATATTTGACAGGCCGGATTCAAAAGCCCAACGGGCCGTATATGGCCCGTAGTTTGCCCATGCCTGGATTAGAGTATGTGACTTCACCGGACAAACTCAACCGGCCCATAATGCATTGCAGACTGTCCGATGGCAAGACAGCGAGGCACACAGTTTAAATAATGTTGGATAAAAAAATGACAAATGATGGAAAGTGAACATTAATGTAAAATTAGGAGGAAAAGCGCCAGAGCTCACATATATAATGTACTGTAGAAAACATCTTTAACACTAAAGTATTTAATCATTTTAATTTGCCTTTAAATAATACTGGAAAATATTAAATTTAGTGGAAGAGGTAACGTCGTGATCAATACAGTCATGTGATGCAGTACATGATGATTGGGTATGTATTTTTCAGTAAGTTATTATGTGACTTCGAACACACCACATGGGTTCTGAATATCATTCCATATACGAAACCTTTTGTGGCCTCAGGTGACCTGGAAGTGATGGTGGGTAGCTTCAGGCCTCGGTTTGTGTGAGCAAAAATAAATCCCTGTTGCTACCGCTTAAGGCTTTTTGGTGAGTTCTAATGTTTCTGTTAGTAGTGGCATCCCAGTTGCTCAGTAAGGCCTTGGGTACAGAGTGGTGGGAAGGCTAAACTACCAAAACAAGTTGTGTGAGCAGGGAAAAGCCTGAAGGATACGCTCTTGTTCCTGGTGGTTGGTGAGGACGTGCTCCACTTGGGCCATGATGGTGCTCTGCATGGCTTCAATCTGCCCACGCAGGTCCGTCAGATCTCTCTGCTGGCTACGCAGGAGCATCAACAACTCGTCCTGTACTTCAGCATTCATCTGTGGAATGGAGAGAAAAGGAGACAAAGTGCTGCTGAAACATAAATTACACTTAATCCTGAGTTCAACATCGATATAAGTAGACGCCTATTTGCTAACCGATTGTTAATGTATTTCAAATGGTGGTCAAAAAAACAATTAATGGTAATGTGTTTCCAAGAGAACAAAATCATTTTAATCTTCTTCCATTCATAACACTGTGGCAGTTAATGAGCACAAAAGATCACCGTACCTGACCAGAGTCCATTTGCCTTGACTGAGACAATTCACTGGAGGAGAAGAGAGAAACATTTACCGATAATATTCCAACTAATGACTCGATGTAAAATGTTTAACGTTAAAATGAATGATTGTTCATGATTCTTACTGTGACTGTATCCAATTAACTCAAATATTCCATCAAATGCTTCGAATACTAAAAGTGTTTGGAGCTATGAACACATTTTCAGCATCGTCTGTCTAATCTTGACGATCCATAACTCCAGATGCTCAACTTAACTCCATTATGCTAAATGAAGTCGAGAGATGGATCGAGAGCCCTCTTTCACTATTTTGCTACTTACTTTTAGTGAACAGCAGTGGAGGTAAAACGGCACTGAACTGCAATCTCGTCATTTTAGTGCGACTAATCACTTCCCTCCGCCAGTCAACAACCTATTACGATCAAGCCTGAGTGACTGAGTCTCCTGATGTGTTGATTAGCATGGCCTCTACCTCACACTAGTGATCTCTGTTGCATTCACAGTATAAGATGACCTCAGCTCAAGATTTTTCTCAATGTCAGATTTTTTTTCTAAATTAGTTTGTAGCTGAAATCAATCACACACTGTAAGGTACTGCGAATAATGCATATTTTTACAGCCCCACTTCGCACCGATTCCTTCACTATCAAATTCGACTTACCCGTCGTCTTTCTTGGTCTTCCTCTTCACTTTTGGCGAGGCTCGTGGTGAGCTCTTCCAGTCCTTAACCGGTAGTCTGTGAGAGGAGCGAGAGCCACAATTTCCTGAGGATGATGCCAGGCTGGCCACCTCATCGTCGGGGTCACTGGGTCAAACACAGAAACATATGGATGCACAAAGAGTCAGACAGCTGCTGTAAATGCCACATGCTCTGTAATCATCTTGGAAAAGATCCATAAAATCAACGTTATTGTGCCTTAAATTAAGCACTGAATTTGTTTCATTCCCCGTTTTGTGATGCATTCCATCTGGGTCGACTTATTTGCTTGAACAGAGAGACGGTGTGTTCGTTTGCATTACCTCTGGTCTGCGCCGGCGTCCTGACTGTCGTTCTGGGTGAGGTGATAGGAGCGTCGATGGTACGGTGAGCTCAGGTGTCTGTCCTTCGACTCCTCTCTTGAACTACAACACAGTGGACACAAACCTCTTTTTGCTAAACGTTTCTCACACCGCTTCTACAATTTCAACACAGATATGAAAGAAAATGGCCCCGTCATTTTGTTAATGCCGTGTCATCTTTTTGCTTTACACTTGCAAGCCTTTTATGTGTCTGTGTGTCCAGGTACTTGATGTACTTTTGTATGTTAAAGGGAAACTTCTGTATTTTTCAACCTGGACCATATTTTCCCATGTTTTTTGTCTGGGTGACTAATGGGGACAGCAGTACTTTAAACTGGACCAGTATTGAGCTGCAATGTACCCCCTACCAGTATATTCCTCACTGTCATTGTACGTCCCCTAAAAGTGCTTGTTTTTGCCAATGACAAACTCAGATTGTTGCTTGATCCGGTCCATTTGTCCAAAATACTTTAGAGACACCCTAAGCTACTCTTTCTGTACTCCAACTCCTCTTTCCAACTCTCACTCATGTTTCCATCGTTGTCTTCTGGCAACAAGTCTCAAGTTTCAGAACGAGACTTCTCCTTAAGCGAGACACAATAACAAACAGACCGAATCAAGCGCAAAAAGGGGGTCCGGGTTGTTACCATTTAGGGGTTTTATAAATTGTGAACAAAACTGGTTAACCAGTATTGAATTATTCATAAAACCCAGATTTCTACAATCTCACAAAAAGTCATGATATGTTTGAGACTTTTACTTTTCTACAAGTAATTGTCTAAAAAGTAAATTAGTAGTCAGATTTCACAAGTAAGTTTTTGAATTCTGTGAAATCCTTCATGGAAATCGTAATGTTTTTAATTGTTAAATGTATTTGTATGCGCTAATTCTTACCAGTCTCCAAGCCCGTTGTCCCTGAGACTGTTCCTGGTTTCTCTGGTGATGTCAGGCGCAGCCGGCCAAGGTGTGTGGATAACGCTGCCCTCTGAAGAGCCTCCACCGACCCCTGGGTTCTCCTGCGATAAGGCGTTCTCCAGCAGAGACGGGGTGTGACTGAGTCTGGGCTCAGACTCCACTGAACCGCCCACCGGCCCATCACCACCTCCCAGTTCCAGGGGCATCAGGCTGGGACAGAAAAATAGTTCCGTCAATATGAAGGGTCATACTGACGTTTCTGCAAGTTCTGTATGCTTTAAAATCCTGATGAACATTTTTGAATGCATGCTTGTTAAAGGAAGGATGGATAGATGGCCATACGTTGCTGACAGCTTCAGAGTTGTCTATTCACTGCGAACATTAAGTCAGCATTCATTTGTTGAAGTTATTATTGCCCGTCGTCAACGTACCCGTTGTTGGCTGTGCGTGGTGAGGTGAGCAGGTGCAGAGCAGACGCAGCGGACGCCATGCTGTCCGTCTGGAGAGCGGAGAGAGGCAACGGCTCCAAACCGGACACAAGGCCGCGCTGGAGCTGCATGGTCTGGGTCGCGATCTCTGGCATGTCCTGAGACATGGCTGTGGAGGCGGAGGAGATGACGTCGGGGGAGCGGGCTCTGGTCGGAGAAGCCAGAGGGGGCAGGAGGGGAGAATCCAGAACCTGAGGGCTGTCGAGTGCGAGAGGACTGATAGGGGACGCTAATGCCTGAGGACGGAGGTGAGGAATGTGATGAAAAAACATTTTTAAAAAAAGAGCATTCCATGTAGAGTATCAAGAGGCTGGCAGAAGTCGGAGAGTGTGTCTTACCTGCAGGTTCTCCAGTCCAGGCAGAAGCACAGCAGAAACAGCTCTGGGGCTGCTGGTGGAGGTGGAGAGAGTCAGACTGCTGCTGCTGCTGCTGTTGATGTTCTCCGCTCTGTTGGGACTCTGACCGACTTCGTCGATAGCTCTGCACGCAGTGACACAGACATTCACGTTTACATGTGACCAGAAGAGCAGGCGATTATGTGGGCATGCTCATCTATATCGGGGATTTACAGTTAAATAAATGGAGGAAGAAAGAAGCCGATATTCTGTAACAATCACATTTCCAACTGACTTGTTATGAGGACGTAAGAGGAAATTGATGTTTTCGTCATTACCACATTCTAAATACAGATGATGGTCACTATTAATTTTAATCCTAATTATGATCTTATCCCTTCTAAACTGCATAGATAAGCCCACCTGTTAGTTGAGTCAGAGTTGCTGCTGTTAGCCGTCACAATGGTCAGACTGCTGGCACTGCTGCCAGGGGATGCCGGTACCTGGAATGAGACAAAGTGATTAGCAAGATGCAAATATAATGAAAGGTTTCTGAAAACCACTAATCATTGGTCAAGAAAACCCGCTGTTGCTGTGTTTATAACCTGCATTATTCTTCTTGCCATACTTTGTGATGTTTGTCACTGAACTAAACTAGAGCAACACAGAGAAAACTGGGATCGGTCACATCACTTTTTGTCAAATTCAGCTAATATTAATATTAGGAATCTTTTACTTGATGTTATTTCTCAGCCTCTCACTTCTTTATCTTTGGATCAGCCAAAGATAAAGAAGTTCTTCAGTTTGTACCGACTGTGGATTAACAGGGTTACGGCCTTGTGTCTGCCAGCAGCAGCACAATATGCGGGAGGACAGTGCTATTCATGGGGAAAGATGTTGCTTGGCGACATACAAAAATAGTTTGAAGCGTGTTCTTTTGCTGAAGTGTTTTTTGACTATTTTGTAAACTGGTGGATGTCGGCGTTTCACTCCAGCACGCGGACAGCCCGGACCGCTAGTTAACGAAAGATAGAGAGAGAAGCGGTGGGCGAGGCTCGGGAGTGATGGTACCGAAGTGCTTGGTGTCATGAAGGCGTCGGGAGTCATCAGCTTGATCCCGCTGCCGACACCAGAGTTTGACAGGAAGTCAGCGGGAGCAGGAAGTGATGGGATCTTCCTCAGGTCGTTCTGGGAGCCACTTCCTGATTCCTTGTCGGAGCTCTGGTCAGTGAGATGGTCTGAAAACCCTGCAGGACACACAAAATGTACAGACTGCTTTATTTGTGTGGCTGTGTTTGACATACAAAGAAAGCACAAAGTGCAGTAAGGCGATTTTGGGAGATTTGTGTCATTGTATTTTGCTAATCTAATGGTCTGCCTCCAAAGAAACGCCAACGTCGACCTGATTCGATTCATCATTTGTATGGTAAGAAACCTGTGTAAACATAAAGATCCATCGTCTCCAGGGATTTGTCCTTCGTTGTGTTTTGAAATCTTGGGACTGTGACTTACCAAAACCATCCTGAGAATCAGAATTGGGCAGGAAGACTGCAGAGCTGGAACCCAAGTTGGGCTGAAACCAGATCTGGACGTCCTGCAGACTCCTGAAAACACACACAGACACAAATTTAGGACTACCCGAATTATCAAGACTTGGGTCCGCTGCCTGTGCCACAAACACGCATCCCCAAACCTCCACAAGGACATACATTTATGAAATTTGACACATTGTGATTCAATTAACGTGACTGTTACAAATGAAAAGCTAGTCTTTGGTAATTTGGTATTTACTAGTTTTCACTGTCTTTAACCATTGGCGACAATACCAAAACAAAACTCAAGCCAACATGACCGTAACACGGACATCAAACTGTAGGAAGAAACTTACTTGGTGTGGACACAGTAGAGTTTAATTTGGATCCCAGACTTGGACTCTGTTGGTCCTTGTGTGCCCTCTGGAAGAACACACACACACACACACACACACACACACACACACACACACACACACACACACACACACACACACACACACACACACACACACACACACACACACACAGAGAGTAATGCTGTGTTAATTATTCGACAGGTTTGTTGCACAACCTGCAGATTTCATGGTCAGGTGAGACTGAGACAGATAGTCAAGTGATGACTTTGTTGACGTTAAGAAATTCCATTTGCAACATATAGCTATCCATTAGCTACGATATTAGCTTAAGCTATTTTGTGCGAGGGTGTTTCAAGATTCATGCGATGTAATCTCTGGTAATCTTAGGACGTGGCTAGTTTAGGTAACATTTAGCTCGTCATGTGAGCGGTGGTTTAGTGCAGGATACACGCCACTTCTAAACCCCCTCTGATGGGCATCTTCATTAGGTTACATTGTTTGAGGGAACCAACGTTATAATGTTGCGTCCACCGTCACTGATGCTAACCTAGCTGCTAGTTTAAATATGCCAAATTACAATTGTATCGGTTATTGTTGGACAATTAAGCTAAAATGGCTTATATGTGCCAACATCAGTTCTTACGGCAAATATTCACATATATTCTGTGGATATATTATTTTTATTGTCGTCTACATAAAAATATTATGAATATAACCTTTTGTGCCCTTGCAGTAAAGCAGTGTTCCCAAAAAAGTCAAAATGAAAGCTGACAGCGAATAAATGGGCTTGTTTTAAAATGTAGCCATATGTGTGGCCCTTAGAATATAACATGCAATATATTGATATTAAAAAATCTATAGTAACAGGAACAATCAAAAGATTGAAGGAGAGAAAGAGGTGTGTGTGTGTGTGTTTGTGAGAGCATGCCCACCTGTTGTCATGCTCTCACTCTCCTCCTCTGCAGGGAGGACCTCGGTGTGTCGCCATCGGCAGTGAGCGACGTCCCGGACCCCAAAGCTGAGCACGGGGTGGGTCAGCAGGAACTCCGACACCGCTGTGAAACTGGCCTTTCCCTTCTCCTGATCCTGCCGGAGCTCCATCACATACAGAACCTGGCGAAGGACAGCAGCAGAGCATGAAGCGAGGGGCCGGATAAAGTGGTACCGTGGGGACACTTCAACGTTGTCACGGACGGACTAACCCCGGTTCAAAAAATAAAATAAAAATAAAAATAAAAATGTATCTTTAAACAAAATTGACTCAAAAGAGCTCTCTCAGATGAGGCACACCCAAAGAAGATGTAATTTAACTAGCGTTTGACCCTCTGAGAGCAGCAGGATCACCGGTGATTCTGAGCCTTTACGGTCTTTTTGAGACGCCGTAGCGAGCTCGGTCCTAATATGAAACAAGAAGACCTCATGAACCCACCGGTGCCACCCGGGTCATGCTACATTTTGGTGAGGGAAAACTTGCATGGCCATTTTAAAAGGAGTCCCTTGACCTCTCACCTCAAGATATCTGAATGAAAATGGGTGAACCCTCAAGTTTCCCTTTTGCAGATATACCCACTGTATACTAATCCCATGCTGTTTTGGGGGAAAAACAAGGCGTTTTTTCTTGCAGTATAAATATGTTATTTTCGCATATTCTAAAAAATGGTGTATTTGAATATTTCTGCATACTGGGGTCCCTAAACAGTCTTGTAATTGCATAAAGTGTGTGTGACTGGAAAGCTAATGTGTGATGACGTTAGCCATTGGTCACTGAATGAAATGACCTGTTGTGACCTCTAGAATAATCACAGCCTCATGAAACTAGAGACCGGGAGCATTCAGAGGACGTACGGCTTTCCATGTATATTAACATTAAGGAGCTTTTTGAGCAGTTTCCACAACAGAAGTGCTCGCCATCCAATCCGCAATTTTTCTATGTTCCTCATTTTTATCAATTCTTGAGCAGTGAAAAATTGTTACATTTAGCACCAAATCTGTGCAATAAATGGTTTCAACCCAAAAATGACTGCAACTACTGAGAAATAATCATAAGTGATGATGGAATGGCCGTCATAAGACTTCCATCATAATGTTCTCAGCACTTTCACTTAATTAAGTAGGTTAAGTTAATAATTCATTCATTATTTTGTATTTCTTATTTATGACTAGAACAACTTGACACGTTAGCTAATGTTAGCCTCCTCGGATTGTGACCTCCAGCATTCACTGGGGCGGTTTGCAGCCGAGTGTGAAGCGGCGGGGATGAGAGTTAGCACCTCCAAATCTGAGGCCATGGTTCTCTGCCGGAAACCGGTGGATTGCTCCCTCCAGGTGGGGACGGAGTGCCTACCTCAAGCGAAGGAGTTCAAGTATCTCGGGGTCTTGTTCACGAGTGAGGGTAAGATGGAGCGGGAGATCGACAGACGGATCGGTGCAGCTGCAGCAGTAAAGCAGGCGCTGCACCGGACCGTCTTGGTGAAGAGGGAGCTGAGCCGGAAGGCAAAGCTCTCAATTTACCACTCGGTCTACGTTCCTACCCTCACCTATGGTCACGAACTCTGGGTCGTGACCGAAAGGACAAGGTCGCGGCTACAAGCGGCCGAAATGAGTTTCCTCCGTAGGGTGGCCGGGCTCAGCCTTAGAGATAGGGTAAGGAGCTCAGTCATCAGGAGGGAGCTTGGAGTAGAGCCGCTACTCCTTCGCGTCGAAAGGAGTCAGCTGAGGTGGTTCGGGCATCTAATTAGGATGCCTCCTGGACGCCTCCCACTGGAGGTTTTCCAGGCACGTCCAACTGGGAAGAGACCCCGGGGAAGACCCAGAACACGCTGGAGAGATTACATCTCCCAGCTGGCCTGGGAACGCCTCGGGATCCCCCAGAATGAGCTGGAACATGTTGCCGGTGAGAGGGAGGTCTGGGTCGGCCTGCTTGACCTGCTGCCACCGCGACCCGACCCCGGATAAGCGGTGGAAAATGGATGGATGGATGGACAACTTGACACACACTGAGCTACATCTACAATTCATTTTCCGGTTCTAAGCTTTCCGATGATGAACACATTTACCCTAACCCTTGAGATCCCCTGTCCCCAATAAAAAAAGACAAAATGGGTCTATGTAGGTCTCTATGGGTTAAGTACTTTAGTGTTAATAAAGTGACGGGAAAATAACTCAAATGTATCCATTGAGGAGTAACATTTGCAGTTTATCGATATTGTTAGAAACAATTATTCATGAAGAGCAGCTAAAGCACACAGAACATTGTGCGGACCTTCCTCTGTACGTCGGTGAGGATGAGATACTCAGCAGCGAGGTCCAGACTGGCCTTCAGACTGGGCAGAACTGAGGAGTTGAACAGATCTGGAGAAAACCTACGAGATGATAAGAACAACACCATTAGTAACTTCATACAGCAATAAATGGGATGAGCTTCAGAAAACAGGAATAATCATCCACAAACTAAATTAGTCATCCCTTATTACAAAGGACTTAGACGTATAATGATGGATTAAAGAAACAACCTGATGGTCTGTAAGCAGGTCCAGGAAACAGTGCACCATAATTTCAACTCCTGGTTCTGATCCGCTCCGGTTATAAGGAACCGCCAGAAAGGAACACTACAAAGAGCAAAGTGGAACGGACCAGAGTCGGCAAAGGAGAGGAGAAAGAGAAGGCAAACATAGAGCTACAGCATCAGATGAATAAATGTTCACAGGAAGCTGCGTGTGCTCCGGTGTGTGTACTAACTCGGGGTCCTGTCTTTTGTGGTTGTCACAGAAGAGAAGGCAGGAGAGGGGCCGTCCTCCATGGGGCCGCAATTCATGAAGACATCTGGACAACGGAGAGGAAAGAAAATTGAAGAGAAGATGAGACGACCACAGAGTAGGTGAGGGGAACAAACAGACATAAAGGTCAGTAAATGACAAGATGACATCACGGACCTCATGTTTTATCCCTTTCAGAAAATTCTACCTTTACATTTCATGATGAAGTGTGAAAGTAAAGTGACAGCCTCCTCGCTTACCTCGGCTTGTCCTGCACCCCTTCTATGTATATCTGCCAGAACTTGATGTACCCATCGTGGCTGGCTGTGGCCAGCACGGTTCCATCTGGAGACAGGGCCCCCTCACTGACTCGCTGCAGGGCCCGACACCAAGCAACACACACAATCAGTACTGCAAGGAATGTATGCAACAAACAGCACACCACTTTGTACTTCTAGGTTACTGCAGTTCTACGTACTTGTAGAAAATCATCATTTAAATGTACTGCATTGAATTAATGCTTAAGCACTATTCCACTCATTAGTCGTATCCCGGCTCCTACCTGGGTATGCCCCTTGACTGTGATGAGGCCTTCTTTTACGTCCGTGTCATCGACAGGCCAACTGCTGTGGTTGGCTCTCAACACCTCCAGGTCCCACACCTCAGCCTGGACGGAGAGAGGGGGGGGGGTACAATTAGGGAGGCAAAGTTCCCACTTTTCTGTCTTACCGATGAATCTGTGACAACAAAAACACGGGTACCAAGTCTTCGTGGAGAAGGGCTAGGGTCTGGCTGGCGTCGTCCTGGTTGTCCTCATTGTCCTCCTGGATGAACGGGCACCAGATGAGGCGACGGTGGGAGTTCAGCGGAGAGTCCTCTGGCCGTCGGATATGAATCACCACCTGATCACTGCGGGGAGCGCGGGTTAAGGAACATGAGACCAAAGACCATTTGCCGAAGCAGCTTGTATTATCACTGGGATTTGAGTAAAATCACCAGGCAGATTGGGCCGCTGCGAGTGACCATTTACACTTAGACGGTACAAACAAAAAATAGGATGAAATAAACAAGCCAGGCAGTAACTACTACTACCACTCTAGAGACACACATAGACCTGCACATCCTCCCACACACTCCTTTTGAATCTCTCCCACGTGTCAGGATACAGTATCTTGCTTCCAGTGCAGGTGAGCTGCCAGACCATGAGGTTGCCCGCCTCATCTACACAGCCCAGCAGCGAGGAGTCGAGGTGGGCAAAAGCCAGATCTGTAACAGCTCCGGTGAAGCCCTTCAGCAGAGAGCGCTCGGCAAAACTCACACTCAGGACGCGAATCATTGCATGGTTGTTTGCTCCTGAGGGAACAGATGTTTAGTTTAAGGAACGAGATTAAATGGGGAACCTGGGGTGTCACAGCACTTTGATTTACGCAACTACATACACAGGTTATCAATATGTTGTCAGAGAAGAAGGACGGGAGAATATCTGGAGAAAATCTGAACTACAACTGTGGCCTTCTATCATGCTCGGCACACAAACAACGGTTTTCTAAAGAAATCCTTCCGATGAAAACTGTAGACAGTGAGGTGGGTGTTATCCAGAGTATCACGGTCACTCTTTCTGTTGTATTTGCATGTTTCAATGCTGTGCCCAGCAGGCATAAAAACTCATTCAGCTCCACTCTATTCTGGTTGTAAGACACCACCACAAGTGAGAGAGAAAATGTAATGCTTAAATATGCCTAAATATCTCCATACCGATATTTAAATTATACGACTGCAATAATCTAAGACATCAGGAACAGTAATGAAATAATAGATGACAGAACATGTAAATTAAAATTAGTTTTCTTTTAATCAAAAATGTATTAATAAAAAGTCTACATGGCATGCAGCAATTTGATGTCCCCTACACAGATATCACATACTTATTATATTATATTATAGATTTTTTAAGTTTTGTAAAACAGCGCCCATGCCAACGCATCAGTAACAGCTCAGGCACAGAATGCTACTGGAGCATGGGAGACGGCGAGAGGTCTTTGGTGGATTGTGTGTACGCCGAATTACAGGAGATTACAGATTCAGAAAGAAATGGTGAATATAATTTTATCGCCACGTTTGGTCAGTAATTAGAGCCGTTTTGTTATTTTTCATGGTGTTTTTTAAAGGAGTTCTGCTGATACAGACACCAGCTCAGAGCGGCAGAGTGCAGCCGGCGAGGTTCATGACCTGCTTTAATCTTCTTTTAAACCATTTGTTGACTCCACCCTTCTGGTTAACTCTAGCTAAATCCCACGACCCGCAGTTATAGGTTTTGACTGCTCCAAAATTAAAACTGCTGGTTCCTGCGGGACTTGGTCACAATCCAGTCCTCCAGCAGAGTGCTACACACATGCGTTTAAATATCTCAAGTGCTCTTTGATGTTTGTGTCATTAGGCAGTAGAAATACTCCAGGACTCTCACCTCTGATGGCGTAGGCCAGGAAGGAGTTGGACACGGCTATCAGTCGGCCATAATAATACTTATGTTCCCAGTCGTACTTGGCAACGGGTTGAATCTTCACCTGAATGGAAAAATAACAAATTTACCATTTGAAATGAATTAAAGGTCTCCTAAAAAAAGACAATGACTTTTTTTTTTTTTTTTAAACCATGAGGCTCTGGCTTCTCAGAGCTAAGGCCAGGCAATTTAAAATGAAGCACAAAACTAAAAAAGTCTGGCTTGCCAATTGCAGATGATTTGGCTTCTTACCTTGCTGCTGCCACGGGCCTTGCTGTTGATGCTGGTGTCCTGACTCGCCACTATCTCCACGTTGTTGGAGGTGATGGGGATACAGGTGGAGCCATCGTCACCAGAAAGGCAGCTGAAATAGCACGACACATATTTACCTTCAATATGGATTTAGTTTCTTAAAAGATAAGTGTTTAAAAAAATGTTTTTTTTTAATTATCAAATTCAAATAGATGGGAGACAGCACTATGATTATGCTCAATGTGGTAAAGTCAGCGGATGATTCCAAGAACCAACGTACATTATCTGACACTCCTGAGTGCTGCAGAGGTCTGTGGAGATGGGTCTGGTAGAGTCTGACCGATCGGTGCTTCCCAGGAGGCCGACTGCTCCCAATAACCCATTCAGCTCTCCATTAAAAGATGCCATTCTCAGGCTGTCACCTGATGCATCTGAGGAAAGACATTGAATAAAGGGGTTATGGGGAAACACTGTACAAAGATTCACAGCCTGCAAAGAGATGACGGTTATTCTGGAAGTTTATTACTGTATTATTTTCTCAGCGCTCACAGCCCAATACAAAATCATAAAACATATGCAAATGAGTGTAAAACAAATAAACTTTAAACATTTAAGATTCACATTTTGACTCTAGTTTCACTTATAAGTCTGAGTTAATCACACCATTCTAGCTTGGAACTATAAACCTTATTGACCACATTCGGGTGAAGTTTACCAGTTCCAAAGCCCTGTTGAAATGCTTGCTGGCTCACAGCCATCACTTACTGGGACATGTCAGTCAAACAGAGCCATGATTAACGTTATTAATTACACCTGTGCTTTTACCTGTAATGACAAATCAAAATGCCTGCTGTGCAAGACGTCTATTGGCATCTAGTAAGAGCTATTTGAGTTGGGGGGGAACCTGTGGTTTCTTTCTTTCCTCTCCATCCTGGCTAGAGCCAGTAGTTTCTTCGTTACAATCAATCAATCTTCGTCATTATCTACAGGTGCGAGTTTCAAAATGAGCGCGTTTACTCGGATGCGGAAAAAACAAAACTGAAAGGAGTGTATTCAAATTGGCCAACAACATTGACCTTCTACGCAGTTATGGAGGCTCGAGCTTATTCTTGATAGCAGTGAAATCATTCTGGCTCGGCGATTCGGTATAAAGATCCACCTCACTTTACTGCTATTAAGTTTAAAAAAATTAGCAGGTGCTGTTGAGATCATTTCGATTACAGAAACATTTGCTTTACTTATTCGTCGCCCGGCAGCTTAAGACCCAGCTGTCCTACAACAGAAAATAGACTGAGACGTAAGCTAGCTTTAACGTTAGCTCAGTCAACACTATAAAGAAAATACTTGAGACCATTCCGACGTAGTTAGCGCTCCGAGATTACGAGAAACATTAACACAATCGTCGGTCCGCAAAAGGTTAGTTAGAAAATACATTTGTAAACCTATTGACACCCAAATTGTGCTTCCCCGCGACGGGGTGGCTTTCGTTAGCAGGTAGTGAAGCTACTGTTGAGCTAACTTTACTCCAGTGCTGCAGCGCGCTAAACCAACTCGCGTTAGCTAGCTAGGTACCAGTTTAGCTAACGTTAGCTAGTTAGGCTAGCGCTCTGTTAGCTTCTGCGGCCTAAGCTAGCGCCGCCGCTTTTCATTCCCGGTCCGACTTACCGGCACTGTTCCCGGGACGGTCGAGCTTGAGGATGTCCCGGAGATGCTGGGTCGCACCCTCCATATCTATATTAGAATTGGACGCCATGTGTGGGGGGGAAAGGGGGAAACTGGGCTAATTTAGGGGAAGAGAATAATTTCTTGTTTGATGCGATGCTGTCAATGTTCCTTTCGTTCACCCAGAGCAACCGTCTAAACTTCCGTTATGTCCGCGCCAAAGGCTCCGGCTAGTGTCTGCGTCAGGTCATTGGTTCCTACCTCAATGTCTTCTAATGAGGTTCATTGCATGGATGTATAAAGAGTTGAAGAGATTGTAATGTTACACAAAAAGGGAATGTCGCTGCCTTCTGGGTATTTCGGCAGAAATCGAACACTTTATGACGATTCCACCCTAACATATGAACATCTATTAGTGTTACGAAGTGGTTCGATTACCAAGAATAACAAAACAATCAGGAGACTTGGGCTTCCTTATTATGTAACTTCCTTTTTTTGGGTCATGTGCAGACAGACAAATGGGAAAACTGAAGTAATATTTTAGGTGGAACAGCAAATGGTAGGCAACACTAAGAATTCATGTGAGACTGACCACATGCACAGAGGTCTGCAGTTGCTCAACCAGTAGTGGGCGCAACTTGGGGGCTCACTTAGCGTAAGGTACACTTTTATAATGGGACCTAGTACATGCTACTTATTAAGTGCGCGTACACACGGGAGTAGAGAGGACTGATGGCAAGCTTCGCTAAATGGTGCAACAATCACCTGAAACTCATCAGCGAGATCAAAGAAATGGTGGACAGGAGTTACCAATCCGGTATGAAGGAAGTGAAGAGGGTGAACTCAAACAAGTACCATGGGATCCAAAAACTGGACTGGATTCGACACTGAAGCCCTCCTCAGGAACGGACAGCTGTGTTTTCTTTTCTTGGGCTCCCCATGCTGAAATGAACATCCTGCACTCTTCTGCTACCCAACACATAACAGCCCCACCCCCTCAAAATCCAGAGCTTCTGAATGAAGTTGCTATTAACTTTGCATTTCTTGTTGTGCAGTCAAAGGGGCTTCGTGTTTATCCGTCGGGCCTTAATTAAGAGTGGTGTATTGTTTTTAATGTGCTGCTTTGGTAGAGCGTCCCTGCACTGCAAATCCTCTTAAGATGCATCCTGTCCAGTTATAACAATTATGTTCATAGAGCCCCACCTTTACACCCAGACACAGTGCTCCCAGTGATTGATTTGGATTAACCAAGTACACAAGATCGTGAAACGTCAGTAGATAAGTTACAACCCCTATTCCAAATTTTTATTTTCTTTTGCGATGGTTCAGCAAATCTGCTTAACGAGCTTGTTGAGTTGTAAACTAGTTTATGCCTACCCACGGTTTAAAATTGTGACTTTATGACCTCATCTTGGCAATTTATTGAAACCGTTTCTATCGTCTTCGGACTATTGACTGTACAGCAATAGAGGATAAACACTGGTAACCTGCTAATATTTCGTTACAGCTGAGCTGTGGCTGACTAGGGATTCACAAAGCCTCGTTTTTTCCCCCCCTCCCAATCCCACAAGTCATGGCATCTTCCAATAATGAGCACAGTGGAGAGATAAATGAAGGATTGGGGGGCGGACACAATCGGCCACAGAGAATGACATGGAGAGACAAGGCCACACCATTAAGAAAAAAAGTCCAGGTTTTATTGTCTAATGTGGCTGTAGTCCATGTTTACTGCCAGACATGTCTGTGTGAGAGAGAGACAGATTGAGAGAGAGTGAGCGAGAGAGAGAGAGAATATTCAGGAGCCAATCACGCAGTGCGGTCAAACTTTGTACTCCAAGCATGAGAGTGGATCATGGCAAAGTTAACAATTGTGTAAAAGGAAGATGAAACGCACTAAGGCAACACACAAGTGGCATCTAAAAACGACTTATAACACAAGTTAGAACTGATGGAACATGGATCTACAAACCAGTCAACAAACAGCACTAACAGAACTGATTTGATAGCAGTAGAGTTAACAGAGTAGAACGGGTTTGAATTAAGTAAAGGTGGAGAGCGGAGCAGAGCTGGAGTAAATGACGTCGTTCGGCTGTTCGTCTCTCTCTGGTGCATTGAATGTAGATATTGTAATGGGGGACTCCCGGCGTCATGCAGATCAGCGACGTGGCAGACAGGGGCATCTGATTGGTTAGCTGGCTCTCAGCAAAGGAACGAATCGCAGTTCTAGTAGCTGGGGCGGTCTGTAAACCCACCTGGATGAGGTTCAGTGATTGACATCTAGAATCCGGTGTTGGAGAGAGTCAAGCAGGCGTAAATGAGACAGCAGAAGGGAGAGGCGAGTGTCCTCTCTTCTCTCCATCCCCAACTCTTCCTTCCCCTCCCTCCATACTTGACTCAAGTGGTGCCCTTCGCTACGGGCACCCCTGCCCACCAGATGATAAGTGCCGGGGGTTAGCCAAAGTTGTGAATGGCCAGCCTGAACATGTCATTCGTGCACACCCACGCATCGTTAATGTTCTTCAGGAGGAAACTCTGATGGAAACCCATGACGGGATCGTCATCTACCTACGAACACAGACAGAAAGAGCAGGGCATCAGGACACAGTCGGCAGTACAGTGGTTTAATATCGGTTGTACACATCAAAGTCAGTCGACGAGTTGTGGAGAAACAGTCATGTAATTCCTTCTTTGCAAAGTTAGAGAAACTAACGGCAATAACGTCACCCAGGTTATCCTGGCCTGCAGGAAATGAGTTGCTAGCTAGTTAGTTTAGCCCAAAGGTGCCCTGTCTTGTAAACAAAGCTTCTGTTTACATTTATTGTTATTCAATAAAATAAATTGTGTGCATCCTCGTGCAACACTTTGGCACCTTATCAATATTAGGACTTGTGTTCCATAATGTCTTTGTATGAATGTCCTGTCTGTATCGTATTACTGTTGTGTGTCTCTTAACAAATGAGACCCTGTGTCTCAATGAGATTACCCGTCATATACATATACACACACATATACACACATATACATGTATATATACACACATACACATACATACACACACATATACATACGTATATATACACACATACACATACATACACACACATATACATA